AATGTCTTGTTATGTTTTATAGTTTTGGATCTTTAGTGATGTCCTTTTCTGGCAATGATAATTTGTGATATCTGCTTTTCCTTTTTTCCCCCATTTTTTATTTTTATCATGTTTTTCAAGAATAAACTTTTGGCTATGTAATTTTTTCTATTTAAATTTATTTTGTTCCAGGTCTTATTGATCACTTTTTCCTTTTACTTTCTTTTGACTTAATTTATTTTTGAAATTAGTCTTACACTATTGATTTTATACCTTTCTCCCTCTTTGTCTCTATAGAATTAGAAGATACACACTTTCTCCTATTTCCTAGTTTGGCTGCAATCCACAAGTTTCAACATGCCATATTTTACTATCACTTAGTTCAAAATATTTCGTAATTTACACTGATTTCTTTTTTACTCAGGTTTTAGAGAGTTCTGCTTAATTTGGGTATCTGGTCATTTTCTAGTTATGTTCTTGGAGTTGATATCTGACTTAATTCCACAGTGGTCCAAGACCATACAGTATATATTTCATTCTTTCAAAATACATTAGACCTGCTTTATGGTTCAGCGAATAGTCTGTTTTGGTAAATGCACCATGTGCATGTGATAATAACCTGTGTTTTGTCACTGGTGGTCATCAGTTGTAGATAGAGGTGTGTGTGTGTGTGTGTGTGTGTGTGTGTGTGTGTGTGTAAATAATTCCCATGGAAAATTGTGGAACCTGTATGTGACCAGATACAGATAAATATCTTTAAGTGTATTATTCATGTTATTGAAACTTCTATTTTTTTTAAAGATTTTATGTATTTATTTAACACAGAGAGAGAGATCACAAGTAGGCAGAGCAGCTGGCAGAGAGAGCGGGGGAAGCAGGCTCCCCGCTGTGCAGAGACTCCCAATGCGGGGCTCGATCCCAGCACCCTGAAATCATGACCTGAGCTGATAGGCAAAGCTAAAGGCAGAGGCCTAACCCACTGGGCCACCCAGGCGCCCTGAAACTTCTATATTTTAACTGACTTTGTCTGTTTCTTGAGTTGCTATAATCTCCAAGTAGAATTGCTGAGTTGATGATTTTTCCTTTTAATTCTGACAATTTTTGCTTTATATATTTTGTTGACATGTTATGACATACATTTATAACGACGTTTTTTGAATTGCTCCTTCAATCATGAAATATTTCTCTTTCAAAATTGTTTTGTTATATTTCTTATTGGAATTCTATTTTTTTAATATTAGTATAGCCCTGAAAATTTGATCTCAATTATTGTTTTCATTCTTTTACTTAACCTGTCTAGATGCTTATGTTTTAGGTGAATCAATTATAAGTAATAGTTTGGGATTTACTATTTTATCTGTAGGACGATATTTGTTGACTAGAACCTTAATCCGTTTATGTTTAATGATTATACTTAATTTTCTGATAAATATAATTCTTAAAATGTCATCTTGCTTTCCCTATCCCCCCTAAAATTCCTGCCTGCTTTTTATTTTTTGCATTCTCCTTTCCTTAGATATGTTTGTTGTACTCTCCCTTCACCCTATTGTTTTATGGGTGCATAATACTTACGGGTTACACTGTAAATTATAACACCCATCCATGACACATTAGAAGATTTTTAAATTGAGTATTTTACACTTTCTAAACAATTCAAGGATCTTATACCATATTAACTCCATTTACTGCTTTTCTACCTTTTTATGCTACTGTTGTCTTGTATTTTAATTCTATGTATATTTTCTTCTACAGATTTTTTATTTTAAATAGTTGATGTATTTTTAAGTGTCCTTTTTTGCTTATCTATTCTAATGCTTTTTATTACCTAATACATTCCTGCATTTTTATCTTCAGTCATTTTCCTTCTACCTAAAGCATGGTTTATATATTTTGGTGAAGGTCTATTGGAAATGGGTTCTTTTAGCTTCTCAGTTATATAAATATACTTATTGCACCTTGTTTTAGAAGGATATTTTTGATGCTTATAGAATTCTAAGTTGTTAGCTGTTTTCTTTCAGCACTTAAAACATATTGCAGTGTACTCTGGTTTCAGTCCCTCCTACTGAACAATCATCCATGAGTGTTATTACAGCTCCTTTAAAGGTAAAGTGTCTTACCTTCCTTGACTCCAATAAGTGGGAAGATTTTTTTATGCTTTTCTGGTTTTAAGCAACTTTGTATGATGTAATGACCAGTAGTTTTCCTTGCATTTGAATATCCCACCTAGGATTTATAGAAATTCCTCAGCTATAACTCCCATGTTTTTCAACCATTTTGCAAAATACGCATCTACTATCTTATCAAACACTGCTCTGGTACTACTCCTTCTCTCTTTTCCTTCTCTGGGACTCAATTCTTTGCATATTAGACCTTTACAATTTATCCCATATATCCCTTGTGTGTTTCTCTCTTCTATATTTCTTTCTTCCATTTCTTTTATCCACTCTTCTGCTATGTATAACCTGCTATTAAGCCCATTTATTACATTCCTAATTTCATCCCTTTTCAGTTCTGTAGTTTTTATTTTATTCTTCTTATAGATCTTATTTTTCTGTGGAAGTTTTCTCACATTTTCAAGTTTAGATCAAAGTCTATATCTGGTAAGTCTAATAACTATTTTTCTCCTGGATCTTATTCATTTGGTCCTGTTGCCTAGCAGTCTTTAATTTTTTTGTTGAATATTATACATTGTCTATGGAAAAAATATGGAACCTTTGGTCATTTCCTCCAGAGAGAAATCTAAGTTTTTCCTTATATTTGCAGGGAGAGAGTCATAAAGTAGACAAGGCTGATTTTTAGGCTGGGCTATTTCTAGCTCTTATTTCTAGGGCAGAGCACTCAGGGATCTCACCTGAAAGACTGGGAAGTCTCGTTTCTTAGGAAATCTTCACTAACTTTTATCTCCCCAGCATTGTGAGGATGCTCAAGTGTCTACTTAAATTTTAATTTCTCAGTGCCTTCTTTCTATACCTGATTATTTCTGCCTCAGTCCCAATACCTGAGCAGATAAAGAATGAGAAAATACCTCAGGGAGAAAACTGTGGGCAAGGCACCATGCTTACTTTTCTGTGGTTTGCATTTCTCTGGGAGTTTGGTCCTACAGGTCCAAACAACCTTCATAGTCCTAAACACCAACGTTTAATTCTCTACCCCATGGACATTGCTATAAGCTGGGCTACTGTTCTCTGTGTGGTCACAATGACATTGTAAATGTCATTACAAATTAGCAAATTCATAGGAGCAGGGAGGACAGGACTGAGGGGGAAAAACACCGGCAACAAATACAAGATTCACTTCAATGCATTTCTCTTTTCTCAGGGACAGTAGTTCCTCACTTCCTGGTTGCCTTGATTGCTCTCTGATGCTGTTTAATTTTATTCAGCTTTTATGCCGCTGTTCAGTGGTCATGTCAGTCTGATTTTAGTTAGTAGTGTAGTTAGCTTAGACAGACTCAAAGCAGAGGTCTCTGGCTAATGGCATCGTTTTTTTACTTCCCTATCCTAAGTCAGTATCACCAGCTGCTTAGGCACATATAATTTATCTGCAATTCTTCCCTATTTCTTTCATCCTCATATGTCTTAGTTGACAAATTATGTAAACTCTATCTTTGAAATCTCTCTCCCACACATATTCATCCTATATGTTCTTACTACAATCATTCCAATGTATATTGATTTTTTTTTAATTTTTAAAGATTTTATTTATTTATTTGACAGAGATCACAAGTAGGCAGAGAGGCAGGCGGAGAGAGAGAGGAAGGGAAGCAGGCTCCCTGCTAAGCAAAGAGCCTGATGCGGGGCTCAATCCCAGGACCCTGGGATCATGACCCGAGCCTAAGGCAAAGGCTTTAATCCACTGAGCTACTCAGGCACCCCCCCAATGTATATAGATTTTAACTTGTCCCAGTAACCCACAGTATCTTATAAACTTCTATGGGAAAGTCATAAAGGGAAGTTCCAATCTCATCATTACATTATTCATTATCTTCCAAATCTCTTTCCTGTTGCCCAGTCATTGCCTCTCCCAATGCCCACAATGCCTTGTGAATATGGGGCAAGCTTCATAGCATTTACTTATAATAATCTAGTTCAAAACTACTTTTCCTACCTACTCATTTTGTAAACATACTCTACACCCCACTATAATGACATTTCCCATGGACAATAGCCCATATATTCCTACTCGCATAATAATGCCCATAATTTTCCTTTCAATCTAAATGCTTTTCTTGCCATCAACTGACCTAATTTTTAAAGCCTACATCAATGTTATCCCATCCATAAAGATTATGTAGAGTCCTCCAAATAGGGGTAATGTCTCTCTTCTTTGAGAACCCATTGCACTTTGCTTGTCCTCTTTGAATTAGTACTTATTTAATTGTGCCTTGGTTTATCATGATTTTTATACTTATCAGTATCTCATCAAGTACAAGCTTCTTTCAGGGCGAGGTCTTTATCTTATTCACTCCTGTCCTACAGCACTTGGCTCAGTGCCTGGTATGCGGAAGACCCTCCTCAACAGAATTAAATAGAATTCTGGAAAATATCAGATGCAGAGTATTACAAGTCTGTGTGCTTAGGAATGTATCTGATACAGGTATGTTTATGAAAAATGTTGCCTGTTTAGTTAGAACTTCTATTTTAGAAATACTAATGCCTAAGGTATTTCTTTGAATTAAAGGCAAAATCTGATTCTAAAGCTCAGTATACAAATACCCTCATTTTCCCAATAAAATCGGAGTTTGAACACTTTCACAGAAGATAACCTTATCGTGGAAGCCATATCCTGTTTTGCATTTCTTTTTCTTTGAGTTGAATATCTGAGGAAGGCATAGTTGAAAAGTGAAAACAATTCAATTAAATATGGTCCCAAAGAAACACAAATCACTTAATATTAATTTTATAATAGAAATGTCTGCATTCAAGCAAAGACTATGAAAAGAGATTTTAAGACAGCATAATTCAGGTATAATTTTTACAGGACTATGAATTGAGAACTTGGGGGTGAAAATCACCACTTACAAAGAGTATTCAGGAACGGCATCCTTGAAGGCAGGAAGCTCCCGCACATACTCATTATAAAACCATTTCACTTTGAAATGCAAATTCATATAATCGGTGCTCTTGCATAACCGCTGCTTCTCATGTTCTGTAACAGATAAAATCGAACATTTAATGAAGTTTGGTTTGCCAACAATGCTGCTGTATTCCAATCTACTGTTACTAGTAGTATTTTAAAAAGGAAGAGAATTGTGTATTTGAGGTAAAAGCAAAGGGAACTGTCAAAGACAGACTTGAAATTTTACAAAATCCAAAAGTACCACAGATGCCATGTAGAATAGATCAATTAGTAATGAGCAGTAACTTGAATGTTCTAATGTGCCTTCATGAAAAAGGTGAGAATTCTGATGTCAAGAGTGGTAACACACCAAAAATTTTCTGTTTGTTTGCAAGCTTTCATATTTTGCCTACTTTAAGCTTATTGCAAACAAAATTCCAGAAAGAATTAAAACTCTAAGCATGGATAAAACATGAATCAAACTAAGAGACATAATCCTTGATATATATTGGAAATGTGAATTAGTAGATCACATTTCTGGTCTGGATATTGAACACTTAAAGAATTAAAAGTTGAAAAGGAGAAATATATCTGACTTCTAAGTCAGATGATTTCTTCTTCCCATTTTAAGTTCAGCTAAAATTATTTTGTGCCCTGTGGCTTTTTTGACATTTCTTTAGCAGGATTTCCTAATATGTGACATTTTCTTCTCTCTAACTTAGAAAGTGTAGCTTAAAACCATTTTTTGTTTTTTGTTTTTTGTTTTTTTAATCTAATCTGGATATATAGTACTGGGAAACAGAGACAAGTAATAATACTACTGAACATGTTTATCTCTTCTCCTCCCCTACCCCCAATATTAATATCTTTGCCAATTCCAGCCATAAGTATAGACATAAGCAAACCCCAAATATCCCAGACTATATTGACATTTAAGTGTCCTCTAAGAAGTTCTGGTTGAGGTCTATGGATCTTTTTTTAAGCCAAGGGCTTTGATTTATGGTAGAAACATCCTTTACTTTACATTCCAGACTGAAAATACCAATTGAAACAATTGAATTGTTACAAACAAATTGAGGACATCCTTGCTTTCCAAAACCTCACTATAGGGGGACTTAAATCCCAATGATAAACAGAAGAGGGAACACAGCCCCAAATCAAACATTTTCAAAATATCTAAACAATGATTAATTTAAGACAGTTTGTAGAAAAGAGAGAAACACACATATATACACAGAAACAAGAATAAATAATACTTGTAGACTAAACTCGCAAACAAAATTATGAACGAGATGATATTGTGCTTCAACTCCCTCCAAATTTATTCCATTCATTCTTTCTTTTAATGTGAGTTCTCTCCTATCCCTCTCCTCACATAAATAGTATCCCTCTACATCTTAAGGATAAGACATTTATTTGATATACTCGTAGGTAAGGATTTAATTCAATACTACCTTGAAACCTAGACAGGAGAAGACCCTTGCCCTAGGACCCATACACCAAAAGGGCTCTACTCATCCCAAATAGAAACTCAAAAATTAAACAGATCATGGATTCCTCTGTCACTTGGGATCTCACACTTGGTGTGGACAGAGTAAGCCAGAACCCAAAACATCTGCTCTTGTGACTAACACCACCTGTTCTTATAATTAACACCTTGTAAATCCCCACAGAAACACCTCTGGACCATCTTTTGTTTTATATCCTGAAAACAAAAGGTGACTGACTATGTCCAGTTTGCAGACTGCCATTGCTGATGACAGAAATAGATACTGCTTTGGAGTACGGGGAGGAATTCAAGCTATGGATGCATTTAAGTAAGAGAAAGGGCAAACTAACTCACCAGGTTCTTTCCCTGGATGGCATAAATGTAATAGGTCATTTCATAACAAAATATCATTTTAAAGTTTTAATAAGCACCCATTTTCATTGGTTTCAATTTATGCATTGGAGGGCACTCATGAATGAATGCAGCATGCAAAACAGGTGCACTTGCTGGCTGGGGAATATTTTGAATACTAAATGATTCATATTACTCTCAAAGTTATGTGTAGTTCTAGATGTAATATACATGAAGCCTCAACTTCCTTGCCAACCGGTTATCTACTGAATTCCAGACTTATCAACAGTTTTATTTTTGAAATTTAGATTTATGAGTTCTAATGCAATGATTTTTGTTTATTCAAATGATTTACCTAAAAATTTATATGAGATGATAATTGCATTTTGTCCTCATCTTAATAAATATTTTTAAATATCTTAGAAGAAAGTAACTTTCTGCAAACCATAGGTGAACCATATTGGAAAACACACATGGAAATAATTTTAAAATTTTGTATTTATAGTTTAAATTACATCCGTATTCAAATCATGTGAATTTTGAATACATTTTTTTAATCCTTTAAATATTAAGAATGTGCATAAACTGTAAGCAGACCTCAGAAAAGAAAAAAAAAAAGGCTGAAAAGAAATAGAAAAGAGTTCAATGGCAAAGTATATTTAAATTTTTTAAGTCAGGAAAAAATTGAAGATGGCAGACATCATGTGACCTGATTTCGCAAGTGTTAGGGTGAGTCTGATGTAATGTGCTACCTGTTCCAAGAGTGTACATTAACAGAATCCTGAAGGTAAGGGTACCCTAGTTCCAGCTAATACCAAAAATGTTTATTGAGCATTTATCTTGCACTAAGTTATGTGGGAGGCACTGCAGATATAAAGATTGAGTGTGCAGAGCTCAGATAGGTTGACATAAAACAGTACATTTAATACAACATGGCTAGTGTCATGATTTGCACAGGAGGATGCTATTTCTTGGAGGAGATGAATTTAGCCCAAATTTTGTGTGTTAGATGAACAAGACAGAAATGATTTGTGAGCAGTGGTTCACTGCACAAAGATGAATTTTAGTCAAAGAACACATATTATATAAAATAAGACTTTTTACTTTAAGAAATACTATTTAATATATGTGTCTCATTCATGAAAATGTAAAACTATGTCTCCAGTGAAGACTTTGGGCTTTTCAACAGAATACACATTCTTCTCCAGTGCACATGGAACTTCCTCCAGAATAAATCACATACTGGGTCACAAATCAGTTCTCAACCAAAACCCAAAGATTGGGATTATTCCCTACATATATTCAGACCACAATGCTTTGAAACTTGAACTCAATCACAAGAGGAAATTTGGAAGGAACTCAAACACTTGGAGTTTGTTAAAGAGCATCCTACTAAAGAATAAATGGGTTAATCAGGAAATTAAAGAATTTAAAAAATTCATGGAAACTAATGAAAATGAAAACACAACTGTTCAAAATCTTTGGGACACAGCCAAGTCAGTCCTGAAGGAAGTAAATTGCAATACAAGCCTCTCTCAAAAAATGAGAAAAATCTCAAATACACAAGCTAACCTTACTTGTAAAGGAGCTGGAGAAAGAACAGCAAATAAAGCCTAAACCCAGCAGAAGAGAAACAATAAACATCAGAGCAGAAATCAATGAAATAGAAAGCAAAAGAACAGTAGAACAAATCAATGAAACTAAGAGTTGGTTCTTTGAAAGAATTAATAAGATTGATTAACCCCCGGGCCAGACTTATCAAAAAGAAAAGAGAAAGGACCCTTGGGGCACCTGGGTGGTTCCATCATTAACCACGTGCCTTTGGCTCAGTTTATGATCCCAGGGTCCTGGGATCAAGCCCCACATTGGGCTCCCTGCTCAGCAGTAAGTCTGCTTCTCCCTCTCCCATTTCCCCCTGCTTATGTTCCCTCTCTCACTGTGTCTCTGTCAATAAATAAATAAAATCATAAAAAGGAGAGAGAGAGAGAGAGAGAGAGAGAGAGAGAGAAGAGACCCAAATTAATAAAATCATGAATGAAAGAAAAGAGATTATGACCAGCACCAAGGAAATAAAAACAATTTTAAGAGCATATTATAACAACAATATGCCAACAAATAAGGCAATCTAGAAGGAATGAATGCATTCCTAGAAACTTATAAACTACCAAAACTGAAACAGGAAGAAATAGTAAATCTGAATAGACCCATAACCATCAAGGAAAGTGAAGCAATTATCAAAAACCTGCCAAAAAACAAGAGCTCAGTGCCAGATGGCTTCCCAGGGAAATTCTACCAAACATTTGAAGAAGAAATAATACCTATTCTAATGAAACTGTTTCAAAAAATAGAAATGGGAAGAAAACTTCCAAACTCTTTCTATGAGGCCAGCATTACCTTGATCCCAAAACTAGATAGAGAACCCAGCAAAAAGGAGAATTACAGACCAATATCCTTAATGAACATGGATGTGAAAATACTCACCAAGATAGTAGCCAACAGGATCCAACAGTACATTAAAAGAATGATTCATCATAATCAAGTGGGATTTATTCCTGGGATACAAAAGTGGTTTGACATTACAAATCAAACATGAGAGAGGAAATTAATAAAAGAAAAGAACAAGATCCATATGATCCTCTCAATTGATGCAGAAAAAGCATATGACAAAACACAGCATCTGTTCTTGATTAAAACTCTCCAAAGTGTAGGGATAGAGGGAACATACCTCAATATTATAAAAACCATATACGAAAAGCCCACAGTGAATATCATTCTCAATGGGGAAAATCCAAGAGCTTTCCCCTAAGGCCAGGAACATGACAAGGATGTCCACTCTCACTGCTGTTGCTCAACATAGTACTAGAAGTCCTAGCCTCAGCAATCAGACAATGAAAAGAAATAAATGACATTCAAATTAGCAAAGAAGAAATCAAACTCTCATCCTTCACAGATGATATGATGCTTTCTGCATTTCTATACACTAACAATGAGACAGAAGAAAGAGAAATTAAGGAATTGATCCCATTTACAATTGCACCAAAAAACACAAGATACCTAGGAATAAACCTAACCAAAGGTGTAAAGGATCTGTACTCTAAAAACTACAGAGCACTTATGAAAAAATCTGAGGAAGACACAAAGAGATGGAATAACATTCCATGCTCATGGATGGAAGAATAAATATTTTTAAAATGTTTATGCTACCCAGAGCAATCTACACATTCAATGCAATCCCTATCAAAATGCCATC